CCAGGGTCTTCTGATTTTCTTCATTAGTATGCATTTTAAACAATATTGTTTGCATTAAACAATGAGGTTGTCAGACAATGAAAGAAGACAGCTTTTTGTGTATGTACAGGTAAGTGGCAAAACACAGTCCCTGTGGCAAGGAAGTGATATGCCTGTATAACAGCATTACACTTAGGCCTGATAACTGCACTACAGGATGCCTCGGTACTGGCAGAGCAGTGCATTAACACAGCTATGCTAATTTGGAGGTCCAAAAATGCTCGCATCCCTCTGAGTATCACAGCGCTGTGCCAGGTAGAACAACAACAGTACAGATAAAAATCAGACTTTCAGTTGTGCTTTCTAGAGAGATACTACTAGCTCAAGCATGCAATTAAGCAAATTAGCAATTGTTTTAGCCCTGAATTGCATCAGGAACAGAGAGATTTTGAGGCTGTACACTAATCAAAGAGATGAAAAGCTTTTAAAGACTAATTCCTATTTTCTAACTTTTCATATCTTGCCTTGGCTACCTGAAAGTTGTAGTTATTCTGCTCCCAGTGCCACTTTCAGTGTTCATTTATATACCTACACTGACACTGCTTTTTGCACTTAAATTCACAGGAGTATTCTCTGCCTCTACTGACTGCTTTTCTCAGACAAAGAAAACCCAACCCTAAGTTGACCTATTCTGTCTTAGTTAAGCCAATTCTTCTGCTTTACAGTTACTACAAACAGAAACATTTATTCACCTACTTGAATTAATATATTAATTTCCATTTAAGTATGCTGCACCTCCATCATGCTGGAACTGATGTGGTCCAGGAAACCATTTGCTCTAAATTTGGGTAAGTGTCCTTGGTATTTGTGAGGCAGTTACCACCATCAGGTGCTTTCATTGAAGTCTCAGGGCAAGCTGCTCATTACAACTGCAATTCCCATCAAGCTTAATTTCCAACATGATGTAAATTCTATGTATCACGTTGGGCCATAGAACAATGCCTGCCTGGTTTTCAGGTTCATCTTCATTAGAACTTGTGTTCCACAATTAGCTACAATAAATCAGCTCTACTAAAAAAGACTCCAGTAGCAGCAGATTTCCAGTCTCTGTTTCAACTCCTCTTTACCTGTAATTAATGCTTCATCATTGTCCTTAAGGGAGAACATCTGTTTTCACAGATCATGCTACTGTTCGGTTAAATACAACTGTCTTTCTGTTCCCCAAAACATATTTGGCAGATCCTAAACAGATTATAACAGATTTTTCAGGAGATTTTTTTACAACCATTTTTCTAGACTCCTTGCCATTCACTTTGCAGATCCTAAGCAACTTTTTTCATTAACTGAAAAGGTATTACGATCCTACTTACACTGCATAGAGACAGAGCTGCAGTATGGAACCATTATCATTATTACGTTATCATTATTCTCAATTACACTAAGCTACAGTCACAAATAGTGCATGATATCACCATTACCATCACACATGTTATTACTGAGGAAAGTAAAGCGTGAAGATAATTAGCAAAGGGAAACTTAGACTTGCAACAAGCATCCATTTCTTGGTGTAAGTTTCAAGTCTCTTCTGTCCTTAAACACGAACATTTGCCTACAGACACAATGCAGAAAGTGCAGTCAACTCTGACCTCAGCTTGCTTATCCCCTCTTCCAAATTGCGCTATTCCAGCACCTTGAGTTTCCCTCTGGGGATCAGTCTCTCTAGATGCCAGTGATACGCCCCTTCATGGACAGTGCCAACAATTTCAGTTTGAAGAGACAGTGATATTACTGAAATGGAATGACACTGATTATGCTCAGTTAGCTTAGCTTTGGTCTGTGAAGCTAAAGAGAAACAGCCAAACAGCTCTCCTACAATCTTCAGGTGAAAGACAACAAAGAATGAGAGATGACAGCTTCCTAAATCATTCTGCCTTGATCAGCACGAGGTTGGGGCTTCAGTTTTGTGTTTGATTTTTAAAATCTGCCCCCAGTTCAGGCTACGCATATGACAAAATAACACTGGGACATTGGTGCCAAAGTCACAGTGAAACATTCACTGTAGACTGTGGTACTTGAAGATATCAAGTCCCCCCATTCCAAAAGCATTTGATTTTTTGCACTGACAAGGATGAAAAGGGTGGCTCTTTATCAGCCTAGCTCAACTGCAGAAACAAAACCCACAGTCACTGATCATGCATGATAAAAGACTTTAGTAATTTCTCTTTGTAGATGCTTTTCTTTCCTTACTATAGAATACTGATGCTTTCCCTGAGCTCTACCATTTCACTCTAAAGCATGAGGGATGTGAAACTAAAAGACACACCATGGCCTAACAGGCTAATAATCCCTGGCAACACCAAGAAAAACTACAGACTATTTTCCTGCTCCTGTACAAGAGAACCTTAGCTGTGCCACTCCAAGCTTGTGACACTTGGGTAAGCTCCCATGAACCTGAGGTCCGAACCCAAACAGCATGTCAGGCTCTCATTTACCCTCTTCAGTAAGAGCTATCTGGGCTTCACTGCCTCACTGCACCTTTCTGCTTGCCCCACACTGTAGGTAGGATAGGGTTAAAGAATAGGGGTGCAACAGCTGTGCTGAGGCAGTGGTCTGAATCAGGTCTAAGCCCACACTATTATTGTAAACGCATTAAAGATTTATTTCATTAGCACAGCTTACAAGTACATAGATCGTTTGGCACACTCCAGATATCATAAGGCTGGTTCAGAACCTCATTCCTCAAATGGTTAAAAGAATACCTTTTTGCTGTACCCTACTAACAGAAGCACTGGGAAATAGTTCTTTGTGCCTACATCACATTGATCTTCATTATGTTACAGTTGCACTGAAGTAATAGGAGAAAATACTTAACCAATATCCCATGTTTCTGGGAGATGCTTAACACCACTTCCCACCATCTTACTCTACAAGTTCCTGGTACTTTCAAGTAAGATCACAGCACTAGCATCTTCAGAAAACTCCCAGCATAGATCATCAGGATATAATATATTTGAGGTATGTTTCATTCTCATCTAGGATCAAAAAGGAGCATACACTCAAGAACTGTTGGTTAGGGCATTCTGGGTTAAGCCAACACATATCCATTGTCAAGACAGAAATTATATTTTAACTGCAAAGTGAAAGCAACTGACAAGAGGATAATTCTAACAATCAGAAATTGCAAAGGTGACAGTCTTGGAATCAAATAATCATATTGCCAGCGGAACCATTTAAAAGAAAGTATAGCTTTTAGAGGAGTTTGATAAATAGCACCTCATTAGCAGAATCTCAAGAAGCCAAAGGTTAGTGAGAGTCAGAGTCCAGCCAGATTTGCAACAACGTTTTCAAATTAAACCCTCCATTTAGATTATCCAGACAAAGTAGGTGCTGAGTTTTACTGCTCCTGCACATTTGTTACCCTAATGGGTATAAGCCATCATTTTCTCTCTATACCACAAAAAAAGGAAGAATTCTCCTCTCTCCCTTTTATATGCATACAATTGTCTGGTGTTATCAGGTAAAAGCTTTAATTGTTGGTGCGTGGCAAGCATAACAATAGGGAGATTTGCACATCTGATGTTTCTTAAACAGGAAACAAGCCCCACAATCCAATTAGCTGCCTCTGATGGTAACCTTAAGTTCTAACCTTGGGTAAAACCCTTTCAAGTAAGCCACTTCATGCTCTGAGCTCCCACTGTGCCTGGTATTTATTTGTCACTGTCAAAAAAATGCTAGAAAGTGTCATATTTTAACTCTGAAAGTTAAAAAAATAAGGGTATTATAAATGCAGCTAATAACTGCAGAACCATTCACAATCCCATTCCAAGCTTCTGTTGATTAGTCATTGTAGACTTGGTAGAGACAAGTATAATTGAGCAACCATACGACAGGGATTTTTGTTAGGAAGAGTCTGTTATGAATTCAGACACCCAAGAAAGAGCAGGAGAGCAAGCTAAGAGGATTCTGAATCATCCCAGCAAGGCAGCAAAAAAGCACCATGTGATCTCACATCAGTGGTCCACCTCTGCCAGTCAGCCAGCTGACAGGTTCATGCTCTAGAGCCTCAAATTGGTTTGTCCAAACCACTCAGCAGAAAGTTATAACAGCTAACTATAAGGGTATAAAGGAATGAAGACGTTAAGCTATTTTCTCCTTCTAACAAGGAAATTCAACTGACCATTATCTCAGAAACGGTGAAAGCAATTTCTGCTTAATTCCTTTAGAAATTCAGATCTGACTCCTCTTAGAAACGCCAGCCTGCAGGAAAGCATTTCTGTAGCCTGTAAGGTAGTGAAGAGACTACACAAACAACAGATACAGAAATCTACAAAGCTTCTTAGTATTTTTTAATGAAAGGCTCCACATGACAGTGAGCACATACAAGACTCACACATCAAAGAGTACCCCATAAGCAGACATCAGTTTTACAGCACACTGCAGTGCACAAATACCATATACCTCCCAACCTTGTACCTTCAGTTTGACTTGAGGCTTCAAATTTACATCAGAAATTACCTATTCCATTGATTCAAAGCAAGCAGTAAGAGCATCTGTACTTTGCCACCATTACATAAACAATCATGAACCTTCTATCAAATTAACTTATTTTATCATAACATTTAATGAACCTTCGAGAATGAATCATCTTTTTTGCCCCTTCAGGTATCTATAGATAGATACCCCACAACCAAACACACAAGATTAAGGTTTGGTGCAGAATTAGGTCCTAACAATATGTACTGCAAAAACAAACCAATGAAAAGCAAACCAAACAATGCAAAAGACTAAGCAAAACAATTGTAAGAGAAAATAAAATGGTTACAGCCCTTAAGAATTCATTTATCAGTACAACTTACCCTATATTAGGACAATAATTCACCGAGTAGCTGACAAAGTTTCCTCAAAAGCAGTCACCAACCTTCAAGTTTTTCATTCTAAGAAGTACTTCAAATTACCTTAATTTACTTCTGTGAAACAAAGTCAAAACAAAGTATAACCACAGCTGAACAAAAAAGAAGTACCATTTCAGGAAGCTTCTCTAAGCCCTTCACAGTCCTAAAACGCATAAGGCAGCCAAAACACTATCCCTCTGCCTTTTTGCAGGGCTAAGGGCACCTGTTTACCAAGTGCTAATTGCAGTTAATTAGCCATCAATTAAAGCAAACTACATTTTCACCTGTTTCAGATCTAAATCCCCGCTTGTCCAATTACCTTGTTCTAGCAAACTGTTTGAAGTTAACTCCTTACTGACTTCAGGTTTGTGACCCAGTCTTTGCTGTGTGCAGTATTTGACTTCTCTACTGCAGTTACAGACTTGCTTGCACTCAGTTTCTCTGCTAAATTCTTCTGGGTTAGTACTTTAGAAGTGAAATAAACATGGGTTTGAAGCAGCTAAACACAAGTTTGCTAAAATATACTCTTGAATCACAAAGTTTTTTCCAATTAAAATGCCTTCTTATTGAGGACAATTCCTTTATAGGCAAGTCCTTCTATTCTTAACCATTAAAAAGGAGTTCTTAACAGACTGTCTGCTTTGATAAGGCCTCTTCTTCTCCTACTCAGATGTTTAGCAGTATTCTTGTTGTCTACAGTTCACTTGCTTGCACTGTATTAAAACTGCAGTGGAAGCTGGCCTGCTGCTGTATCCTTCTAGGAGGCTCTTTTCTCTTGTTTGAAATATTTTAAAGAAAAGCAAACAAAGTAGAGAGTTTATTTCTATAAAGCCATCCAAGTTTTTAATTTTCAGCCTTCAAAAATAAAAAGGCATCCAGTTCTGGAATAAATAAAAATTAGTTCAATTATTATGAAGATAAATTAACTGTAAACGAATAATGTTCGTATCCTGGGTACCTGCTTTGCAGTAATTTCCTCATTAAAGAACTATAAGCTAGTCAATTTGCATTAGAACGGTTAAGTACTTTAATTCAATTATGGAATTACTATTGGGTGATTAAAGACTGAGAACAAATAACTTTGAGTTCATTTTAGTCATCTACTAGCTACTACCTATATGTCTTAGCAATAAATACATATGAAACTGGATGAAACATAGAACAAAATAAAAATTGCACCATAATCTGTGGCTGGCTTCTCACTCAACATGTGATTACAAATGAGGAACTGATGCCTAGTATGTGCACGAAGTTTTAGACCAAAGTGAAAAGTCTTCAGGTAACTACTTCATGCTATCTGTTGTGAACCTGCCTTAATCAAACAGGTATTTAGTGACACATGATCACGGTTTCTCTCCTGGTGAAAGAGGATTTCCTTGTAGTTAGACATTCAGCATAGTAAACAACTCACCCTCCTTTAGGAGCTCTTCCCCACCCCTAAACATTATTTGATTGTGCTCCCTGTAGGAGAAATGGAAGTTACCATATTCTACACTGAGAAGGCCGAAGTAAAAAAATCTCTTCACTTAATGTGCTCATCCTGTCATTTGTCCCTTTTGGCACTCCAAGGTGATTGTTAATTAAAACTACAGTTCCGCAAGGCATTATTGAATCTGGTTAATGGACAACAACTTGCACTGAATGTGCATGTGTGGTAGGCACACTCGTAAAAATCCTTCAACATCACCAAGTTATTGCTCAGATCTTGGCTTGCTGTTGTTCTTTTTGGCACGCAGAAGACCACTTGGCTATGGTTAGGAAGCTGGAGTGTTTTGATCACCAATTATAACTCTGCCATAATTGCATTACTGGGCTATTGACTTCTACCTCACCCCATCTCTTTAGTGGGCTCTGTCATTACATCCCTTATAGATTTTGGGGGCATTCTGGGGGCAGCTGCCTTTCTATAAATGCTCTGTACAGCACAAGCTATGATGGCCTGAACCTTCTAGGCATACCACAAACCAAACAATAAAAAAGCAGAATTACTAATAATCATTAGCACACAGTTGTGTCCCAAGGATAAAACACAGGACAGTGTATACGTGCATTCAAACCTGGCATTCACAGTGTTTTCCATTAAAAGATATTGGCAATTTAAATATCTCTGGTCATTTACTCTTACTGTAGCGATCACTTCTAATTTCTCCCAGGCTCTTCCAAGAAAATGGTTTAACACACAGTGCAGATCTTCCATGTAAAAAAGACCAGCATTTTTAATTATAGTCGTTTCACAGGATCTAATAGCAATAAGGTTCCCATAAATGTTCAGAATATAACAAGCTTCACAGCACTTTTGAAAGAGCAGCAATCATTCAGCAGAAATGTTAGAATGCCCTTTATTCCCTTTCTCCATTTCCCAGCAAGCATCCCAGGAGAATCATGAGTTTTAAATTTGCTCAGGCATGAAGGGTTTGTGTGCCCCTTGAGCCTTTGTATTATGATAATGCATACATAAACGTAAGTTTTATTAATTGGAGCTCTATCCACAGGGGTTACTACAACAAAGGAATCAGGGGAAAGGGAACCCAATAGAAGGAGGAGTGACCCAACTGAGTAGTGATTCCAAGATCCGAAATTCAAGCCTGATACACTCCCCCTTGAGCCTGCCCTTCCTTACCTGTGCCCTGATTTAATGTGAGATGTTCCAGGCAGTGCTATTTTTTAACATCTCACTCCAATTTATTGTCTAAAAAAAAAAATCAATACTACAAACTTTCCTTTGTACTTACCTTAAAAATTGCTCTCAGACAAAACTGGAATTCACTACTGTAGCCTTTGCATAAAAGTACTTTGAGTTCATGCTCTGTGCCTTCCTAACAGTTCTCTCTGCCTTCCGAACACCACAAGCACGGATGTGATAGATTTCTCAGTATTTTCCTCACTGCTGTCAAATTGCACTGTATTTCACTCCTCCTTAATTTGTGTCTTTTTATATCCGTGACTCCTATCATTATTGCTTTCTTCTTACATCTTTCCCCACTTTAATAGCTGAAGAATACACAAGGATGTTTTGATGGTGCCAAGCCCCTTCTTACAATTTTGCTACAACAGCAAACATGACTAAACTCCTGCAGAGCCTTTCTTCTATCCCTTCCTTCCCAAAGGTTTTGAGCAGGTGGGGAGGTGAGCTTCTTCACTTTGAGAAACAAAAGCCTGCATGACAAATACCCTCTTCCTTTCTTATCAGTTAACCAGCCTTTAGAGGAAGAAAGGAAGAAAATAAAATGTGGTGGCAGGCTACTCTCTGGCTTCATTACTCATCTACTCAGGAGCCAGCAAACACAGGCTTTGGAGACAATTTGTAAACTCTATTTGTCAGAGGGAATATCATCATGAAAATGCTCCATATTTACACCAGTAAATTACAAAGGCACCTGCACTGAGCAGGTTGATCTAATTATGTTTTCACACATTTCTAGTGGTTTCAAGTGAGATACCCAGAGAGCCCTTGGGACAGAGACTAGAGACAGGCCAAAGGCAGTAAATGCTGGGAAGAGGCCTCTCATGTATCATGTATCAACATAATGTGAAGGAGGGAGAAGGAAATAACTGGTTTAGGTTGGGGACATACAATAAGTCTTCAGACATATGAATGACAGAACTCAATATAAACATGAAGAATTCAGAAATGTATTTTTAGGTTCTCCCTTCTTCCCTCAATCCCACCAAATACAATAGGATTTTTCGCTAACTTAAATTCACTGAGAACAAAAATGTAACAAAATTTGGACAAGTTATTCATTATGTACCAGGAAAAAATTGCACTGTAAGGAAAAATGAGCAGGCTTTGTAATTTTTAATAGGTAAGCTCAGAGTTATATTAAGAAATCACAACAATAACAAAGCCCCTTCAGCTACCTTCTACTTTTCTCCAAATTCATTTTGCTATGAAAAACTGAAATGTGGCATTGAAGCAAATCTGAAAGAAAATTTGCTTCCATTTCAATCACCAAAGTTATTTGCATGGGACTTGTGCTGCACTGGTGAAAATAAGATATCAAATATCTATATTCTACAAAGATCTCTTTATACCTTCTTTCATATTAATTCAGTGGAATAGCAAAGAGTGGGACCAATACAAAATGAACGCTTTAAACCTTCTGCAGGTTCTTGGGTTGCTGTTTCTGTCTCTGATGCTCAAGCAGGGCCTTTTCACAGTTAAAAATGAAATCACTTACGAAGCTTTATCCTCGTTTTTCCTGCTTGAGACTCATTCTCTCTCAAGCTAAAGGGTGGAAGTGAAGTGTAGCGAAAATAAATTTTTAGGATCTGATAGCTGACAGCCGTAGTTTTTAAGATGTGCTTTGACAGGAATAGAGAAAAACCTACACTGACTTCAGGAAATTCAAGCAAAATCAAAGAAGGCATGAAATGGGCCTCTCTGCCATCCTGCTGTGTGCTGGCCCACATGTTCTGGGTATCCCCAAAGCTGGCTCTGAGCAGAAAACGCTCTGAGCGGCCAGAAATTCTTGCAGATCATGCTACAGGAAAGAGAACTGGGTGCTTTTCAGAGCCCTGTCTTTTGCAATAGTTGATCAGTCTTGGTCTCTTCCCTCCATTACATTACTAGGGCATTATATGTCTCAGAAACAAGCTTCATGTTGTACACCCTATGAGGACTGGGAAATAAATCTGAATCAGGCATGTCTCTCTCATTCCACTAACAGTTATGGCAAAGGTACTGCTTTACATACCATGCTCACACATACGCATCTTGAGAGCATCTGAGCATCATGGTCTTCTGTATACTCATTGTGTCACAAAGTCTTTCTATTGAACAGTATGTGCCCATTTAGCAAACACACTACCAGTTCATTTGGAAAGCAAATATTCATAGGTTGTCAGCAAGCCTTCCCACACCTGACAAATATTAGAAAAAGAGTAATTTAGTAACAAAAAGGCTTGCAGAGTTGATACCTCCTCAGGTAGCTGCAATCCTGCTGGCCCTCCTAGCTACCTCCTTGTTTCAGTAGAAAGCAATAAACAACATTCTATTCCCTAATCTGACAAGTAAGGGCAAATTGACTTGGAGAGTTTAATTACTTCAAAAAAAAAAAAAAACCCAACAAACTAATGCCATTGGTTGCCATAGCAATACATTCTCATTAGATGGAACAGAATTGGCAGTATTGGAGAAACAGTCTATCTTTGTAACTGCTGGTCTTACAATGAAGTACAATTATTAACCATAAATGCTTCTTCCTGTTTAGAACTGCAAACGCATCAGTCAGTACTATAGTCAAGGACTGCTTCTGATCCACAGCTACAGAAATTTGTGTGCTTATGGTCCTACAGGCTGCTGCTATGTCAGTGGAAAAGAATACAGCCCAAATGCAACTACTTGCATAGTGTGTGACAACA